CGGGGCGAGGGCGCCCCGGGCCCCCCCGCCGGCACCTCGGAGCTACCTTGGGAGAGGTGGCGGGAAGCGGGGGAGCCCGGCAGACACCAGGGCTTGGGGGAAGATACCCACAAAATGGTGGTGTTTGTGCCCAATGAGCCCCTCCGTGCGCAGGGCGGCCCAGCTGGGGACGGAGGGACCGTCCTGGCGGGCGCTGGGGATCCCCTCCATGGCCCGACTCCTCTCCATGGCACCTACCTCTGTGGTGGGATCCTCAATGACCTCCGTCTCATCCGGCAGGGCCTCCTGCTGCAGGGAAGAGGCCTGTGAGCTGGCGGCAAGCGCAGGCCCGAGGCCGCCGCGCGCCAGCAGGACGCCGGGGCCCACCGCCCCCGTTCCTGACCGCGCTGGCGTCTGCAAATGCCCGCCCGCTTTCACTCGTTGCGAAAGAAAATCCCCATCAGAAACGGCCCCAGCGCAAGCCGAGAGCCATCCCGCTGCCTCCCGCGCTTACCGGTGCCGCCAGGGCTTTGCCTGCCAGGCAGAGCAGGAAGAAAATCCAGGCCCTCATTTTTCAGCAAACCCTGAGTAAAGGAGAGCAAAAGGAGAGATGAGGGACGAGGTCTTCGGACTGCAGCCTGAGCTCACAGCTGGTGATGAGATACATAGAAAACGGCGTTTGCTTCATTTCCTGCCTTGGCTATTTGATGTTACAGCTGCACGTGCTGACTTTCCTAACCAAAACTTTAAGCCAAATATTGTTTTCAGCAGAAATTAATTTGTTTTTGTAAAATGGGAATGTGATTAGATTCCTGGATGCACCTTGATGGAAAAACTGCAGTCTAAAAGGCAATTCACTTTTCCAGCTTGTAAGTTATTTCAGGTAAAAAAAATAAAAAAATAAAGAGAAAGTACTTTTCACTTTGAGAAACCCTCCCAGCCAGGCACAGGATATAAAGCTCTCTATCATTTTATTTGTCAATCAGAAGAAAAAATAAAGTAAAGGAAGGAAAGAGAGAGACTACATGGACTGGGAGATATTACAAAATTATTTCCTTTAATGAGTGCCCAGAAAAACTCATCACACGTAGAAACATGCAGAGTCATCGCTGGAGTCACCTGTCTCTGGCACCCCCAAATGTTGAGATCTTTAGTGTAATTTTTCCCCTTCGTGCTTGGGCCTGAGGGCCCCCAAACTGGCACAGCGCGAGTCAGGACAGCTCCGGGTTGTCCTGCCAGGAGGTTCTGCACGGAAGATGGGTCCCCGGATGGACTTTGCACCCTCCAGGTCTGCAGCTGTTTCAGGCGGTAAAACGCAAGAGGCAGCGCAGGGGCCCAGCTAACACCGGCCGCGATCCGAGCCAGGAGCGGAGTCCCAGCTGGTGAAATAACCCTGCCCTTGTTCCCCGCAGTTCCTGTTTGGCAGGATTGAGCCCCTCTGCGAGGGGAGAGCAGAGCTCAGCTGGACGTTAATATGCCAGCGGCATCCGCCGCCCGGCAGCGCGAGGAGGCTCCTCCACCCCCTTCCCCCCGCAGCCCCAGCTGCCTCGCGCCTCCCAGCGCCTCTGCCTGCCAGGGCTGCTGCCTTCCAGCTCAGCCTCCTCCACTGCCGGGGCAGGAGCGAGGGCTGGAAGGGGCATCGGAGCCCGTTTGGTCCCTCCTAGCCGCGCTGCAAGGGGAAGTGGACGGACAGATGGACAGATGGATGGAGAGCATTGCTGGGACAGAAGGAATTTCTTGTGTCTTCTGAGTTAGAGAGCGGGCCTCGTTCTTCCAGCAACCATGGGCGCGTATCTCCCTTGCCAGTGCCTCTCTTCTCTTCCTCCCTGTGCCAGGCTGCTCTTTCTAGGCATAAAGCTGCAGCAAGGCTGCGGTGCCAGGGCGCCAACCAGGCCGGCCCCAGCTCCGTGCTCGTTCAGCATGGTCAGGCCGTGCGGAGGCTGAAATCCCCCTGCAAAGCTCAACACTTCAGCTGGAGCCCGGCTAACCCTGCAAGCGCCGGGTGCCCGTGCAAGGGCAGCTTCCCCGGGCCGCGGCGGAGCTGGAACGCGGGGACGGAGGCGGCGGATGCTTTCCTGGGATAGAGGCCCGCGTGGGGGGGGCAGAGGAAGCCGCTCCGGCCACAGCTGTCCGCTCCGCTCAGCACGCGCCGCCCCTTCTCCTCTCCTTTATTTGCTCTGGAGGCTGCCGAGAGCACTGCCTGCCTTTGCCAGGACCTGAAACTGAGGTCACCAGCACTTCCCTTCTGGAGGGACATTTTCTGGAGGGGAGAGGGTGGAAAAGTACTGGTGGCTCTGTCCGTTTCCTCCCTTGCTGCCATCCCTGGCTTTTCCTGGGCTTCTCCCAAGGGGCTTGTTTGCCTTGGAAGATGCTCTGAGGTTCAGTGATACTCAGTGTAACGAAACGCAGCGGCGTCCAGCCCAGTGGAGAGGCCAGTGAGTGGCAGACAGCATTAAGAAGAACCCAACCCTTTACCAAGACCCTCTCAGATCATGTCCCCAAGGCCAGAATACCCTGTGTTTCAAAGCCTGGGCACGCAGTGAGCTGGGGTCAGGGAATTACAAGCTTGCAGGAGCCAGCAGACGCTCTGAGCTGCCAGTGTTGTGTTTGGAGGAAGAAGGAGCACGAAGGAGCCTGAGCAAACAAGCTGGGCAGAGCTGTCTCGCACCGGAGAGAGGAAAACAAGCTTATTGAGAAAACAGCATCCTGAGGCAGAGCCTGTGCACAGAGGACGTTGCAGTGTCTGTAAGACCCTGGCTGCTTTGCAAGGGCTTGGGCTTTCCTGAACGCCTGGTGTCCAGAGGCCCAGATGGCCCAGGCCAGCATGGCCCACAGTGTGGGTCAGTGGGGACAGACCCCCTCCCTGGGGACCTGCCAGGCTCCTGCTCCCCAAGAGGTTGCTCTTTGGAGCTGGAAGCTGGCACGTGGCATGAGCTCAGCATCCACCTCCCTGCCAGAGGGGCTCAGGGGGGATCCCTGTTTGGGACGTGGCCCAGCCGCGCCTGGCACTGCTCTGCTGGTGCCCTATGGCGAGCGTGAGGGAAGGAGCAGTGCCATGCAGCCGAGGGGCGTTTTGGACAGAGCGCAACAAGACTGGGGAAGACAGCCTAGCAAGCAGGAGCGGCTATACCATGCCATAGCCTAGAAGAATCAACAGAAGCCAATGCCTTAACCAGACACGCCAGAAACCAGCACATCTTGCACTCAGAAAGTTCTGCTGAGGTTGCCGGACAGACCCCCTCCCTGCCGACCTGCCAGGCTCCTGCTCCCCAAGAGGTTGCTCTTTGGAGCTGGAAGCTGGCACGTGGCATGAGCTCAGCATCCACCTCCCTGCCAGAGGGGCTCAGGGGGGATCCCTGTTTGGGACGTGGCCCAGCCGTGCCTGGCACTGCTCTGCTGGTGCCCTATGGCGAGCGTGAGGGAAGGAGCAGTGCCATGCAGCCAAGGGGCGTTTTGGACAGAGCACAACAAGACTGGGGAAGACAGCCTAGCAAGCAGGAGCGGCTATACCATGCCATAGCCTAGAAGAATCAACAGAAGCCAATGCCTTAACCAGACACGCCAGAAACCAGCACATCTTGCACTCAGAAAGTTCTGCTGAGGTTGCCACAGTCACAACAAAGTCCAAGGCAGTGGAGCAGCGTTCCTCCTGCACTGGCTGAGGTCCTGGGGAGAGCCCAGGAAAGCCATGGCAAACTCCAAGCCGTAAAGGAGAGAGGCCTCCTTGTCCCGGTCCCTCTGCAGACCTGCCCTACCAACTGCTGTGCTCACCTTGGCGCTCACAGGAGCGCAGCTCAGTGAGGGAGCCGGCCCCGTGGCCCGCGCAACACTTGACCCTACTTGTGTCCCACGTGGGGACTTCAGCTCCCAGGCACCCTGTGAAGTCTTATGGCTCCCGTAAATCCCTCTCGGCAGTTGGACTTCTGGCCCAGCCACCAGCGCTGGCCCTGCCTTCCACTAGCTGCACTTTACAGACATGGGCCTAACAAGGAACAACAACCCTAGGAATGGGACACAGAGACATTTGAGCCTCCACCCAAGCTCCTCTATAGACTGGAAGCAGGGCACGCTGGCAAACGCTTTACCACCTTCTCCGCATTCTGCAGCACTGCCGTAAGCATCTCCTGATGGGCACACTGGGCACAGTGCCCTGCTTAAGGGGTGCTTAGAGGAGCAACCAAGCCCCTTGGGTCTCTGTGTCCCTCTCCAGTCTGGGAGGAAGGGAGAGCCCAGACCACACAGGAGGCGGCTCCTTGGATGGCCAGAGCATGGTCCATGTGGCACTAGCCCCGGCCGGGTTGCATAAGCCCGATGGGATGGGATGGGATGCCACGTTAGCGCGGGGAGGAGCCTCCGCTGGCCCCTTTGACAGCTCCTCCCTGAGGCCACTGCCCAGCACGGGGTAACTCATCCCTGCACTGACACGGGATAACTCAGCCCTCCACTGACACGGGGTAACTCAGCCCTGCACTGACACGGGATAACTCAGCCCTGCACTGACACGGGATAACTCAGCCCTGCACTGACACGGGATAACTCAGCCCTCCGTCAAGAGGCCTTGCTGGGCCAGACTGCAGCCTGTCTCTGGGCAGCCAAGGAGCAGGCGTAGGAAACCGTGGGGCAAACTCCCTCCTTGTGGGGCAAACACCCTCCTCGTGGGGCAAACACCCTCCTCGTGGGGCAAACTCCCTCCTCGTGTCTCGGCTTCCCACCCGCAGCAGTCGCAGCGCCCACCGCAGCCTTGCAGGACCAAAATGTGTCCCAGCACCTCAGACTGAAAGAGAAGGCAGGAGAGGCCCAGCAAAGGCTGTTGCCTCCCGTGGGCTGCAGTTCTCAAGGTGCAGAGAGGAGAGGACATTGGCCGTCACAGAAAGCCACGCGGCTGTGTGACCCCCCTAGAGCCCCTCGCCGGACGGGTCCCTGCTCGTCCAGCCTGTGCGTGTCCGTGTGCCCTGTCACCGCGCAGCTGCGCAGCCACTTCATTGCGTCAGGTCTCATGAGAGGTCTCAGGAAATGAGGATTGGGCAGAAGCCAGCCCGGCTCCTGCCACCTGTGCAGCGCTCTGGAGCGCGTACATGGCTATAGCCTCGCGTATCCAGGAGAGATTTAGATGGAAGGGAACAAATGCCCTCTCATGCCTGCACACTTACACACACCCATTAAAACACAGGAAAATTAAAATCTATCCACCTCGTCTTTCCATTCAGAGTTGCTAAAGACACATCTACCCACTGCTGTGCTGTGTTAACGCGTTCCCCTTGCAGGGAGTTGGTGGAGCTGCTGCGATTGCACTCAGGAGCATGCCAGGTCTTTGCAGGACTTGGAGAGGACAGGGTAAGAGCCCATTTAGCCACCCTGTTATGTGCTAGCTTGGAGCTATCGCAAATTAACTGTCTAGGTTGCTCTTTACATCCCAGAAGGGAGACAGTTAAAGCAGTACCAAGAGAAGTGCATGGATGAGCGGGTCCCTCTGGCTCCAGAGGAGCTAGCGAGACGATCTCTCTCTGATACACAGCCCCACAAAAGGAAAAAAAAACACAGAGGGAAGGAGCCAGCTGCTAAATATCCTGCAAAAATGTGAACCGTCTTCAAAGCATTCCCTGCGCTCGCCCTGCCAGAGCAGCTCCAGCGATAACCGACATCCCTGGAGCAGGGGACCCAGAAGGGGTTTCCATGGGAGCCGACATTCCTCCACGCCTGAGTCATGGCCGAGCGGGGCTGCAGAAGGAGGAGCTTGGAGAAAACTTGGAAAAGTTGATTCCTGCTCTCCCCTCCCCGCCGCATCCCGCGGCTGCCGATGTGGCAGACAATAGCGGGCTCGGGCCGGCTCGCTCGGCCGGCGGG